ATATTGAATTTAACAAGTGGCTAAAGTAGATAAGAAATCCAGTTGGGGGACAGAAAAGTAAGCTAATCCCCATAAGTGAGTCATATGTAGAGGATTATCAGTAAAGCATACATTTTTTCAGAAGAATTTCACAAAAAGATGACAAAACACAATGACATGAAACTGGGAATTACAGAACTAAAGATTAAAAAAAAAACTTGAAACAGAATATTGAATCCATTTAAATCCAGAACTAAGATTATATAACTGGAAGCAATGATTGCAAGACAGAATATTAAGGTTATAAATCATGAAAAAATAGTAATACAAGCACCAAAAAATTAGTAGTTGAGGGGTGAAGCAAGAGCAAATGTAATAACATCAATATTAACTGAATATCAATTTTGTATAATTAACATGTGCAAAGCACAATAGTGTTCCATTTCTCTACCAGGTACCGTGGCTCATGCCTATAATCTTAGCACTTTGGGAGGCAGAGGTGGGCAGATTGCTTGAGCCCAGGAGTTTGAGACCAGCCTGGGCATCATGAAAAAATCCCACTTCTACAAAAAATACAAAAACATTAGCTGAGCATGGTAGTGCATGCCTGCAGGTCCAGCAACTTGGGATGCTGAGATGGGAGGATCACCAAAGTCTGGGAAGGTCAGGGCTACAGTGAGCCATGATCATGCCACTGCACTCTAGCCTGGGTGACCCTGTCTCAAAAAAATAAATAATCATAATGATAATAAAAATCAATTTCTCAATGCATTATCTCATTTAATCCCAAAATCAACCCTATAACTAAAGTGTCTTCATCTCATTTTATAGAAAGCAAAATGACTAAGAATGGCTAAACTTAGTAATTTGCCCAAGAAAGTAAAAAGGCTGATTCAAATCCAATCATCTTGACACCAGCTTTTCTTCTTATAGATTGTTTAGTGACAATAACCTCATTTTGAATTATTATTGCAAGTATAATTTATTTTGACTTTACTATTTTTCACCTAATTTGCTGTTAAAAAAGAATATATAGGTATTTTTATGAAAATGAGGTCATTACACTGAAATACAAACAAAAGCAAAAACGAAAAGGGCATTAATATAAAGCCAGGAAGATGAATGAGGTGAAATGATGTCTTAGCTCAATCCTTAGGTCAGTAGTAACATTCTGAGAACCAGAAAGCTCTACTTAAATTATGTAAGGGTGGGCAGTACAAGGCTGCTAAAGCAGAAGTAAAATGCTTGCCAATGTTAGTGACAGCCAATTCACGGAAGAGCTAATGTATATTTTTATAAAAATTAAAGATTTTTCAAGCTAAATATGGTTAATACAGTTGTATATTTTGAGGGAGTAGAAATGATGGATTATATAATAATCATTTATGAAATACGCTTTTCAAAACTAAATTGATACAGTACATAGTCCTACTGAAGTTTTCTTCTTCTTATTCAGTCAGTATTTTCCATTAAAACCTATATATTTAATTAATTAAATCAAAAAGTTTCATTGGGCAGTATTTGCTTGAATTTCATTAACTATGCTTGTATTTTTTTATTTCAAATGAGCAAACAGTTCATTTTATTGCAGCAGTAAATGGACATAAATATGTTCCCAAATGCAATTTTCCATTTTGAACAGAAATTTTAAAATAACGAACTCTGCAAAATTATAATGAAACTATCCTTCAGCCCAGTTGCCCTACCATTTTTAAAAATAATAATTAGAATGACCCTAAAATAAGAAAATGCTGAAAAAACAAAATTATGGCTTGGGGAAAATTAGTAGGAAGGATTTTTAACAAAAACAAGTAAAAGTGCTTGCATGTCGACATTTTAAAAAAGAATTTATATATAATCCTTATAACGTGAAACTGTGGGAAAATTCAAATAAAAAATTGACAGCTACCTGCCAGGTTTTAAAGTATTAATTTTTAATCTTTCATTTTCTCTTCACTCCCATATCTATATGCATGAAAAATTACTGTTACCAATCCCTTAGGGCAAAAAAGTTCATGAGCCTATACTTACCTCTCTCCCTGTATATTTAGTGAGTGCAGAGTTCCAAGTTTGAAGGTCAACATGTTTTGAGAGGTTTAAGACCAAAGAGAAAGGGAAATAATGAAGATGGAAAACATTTTCAAAGCTGGGCCATGGTTGTACTAGAAGCTAAGGGGTTGCTTATTTTATCGTGTTTTGTATTGCCTTTCCCTTTTGATTATTATTACTGATTATTATTATTGAATTTTCGTTTTTGAAAGTCTGGCAAAACGCAAACATAAAAAATGTCTTAAAATAGGAACATAGCTTAAATATATACAAATAGGAAATATAGCAAGGGCCTGAAAGAAATATCCAGCCAGATACAACATGTTAAGACTGACAAAGCAATTTTTTAAATAAAAGAAAATTAAATAGTAGTGTTTCTATACTATTTAGTATTTCTTTTGTTGTTTTCATTAAACGTGTTGACTTTGAAAAAGAACCATTAGTATAAAAACACCGAAGGCACTGTTAGCAGGATTGAGATTGAAAAGGCTAAGTCAATTGTAAAGAACAGGAATTTTTTTAATGCAGTATAAACTCAGGAATTTTAGCTTACGTAGTTTCAAAAAAAAAACAAAAAGCACTTGTGTGATCAATGTAACTCTAATACAGGACAAGCACCTACAATTGCAAATTCTCTCTAGGGTCCTTTTAGAGTACAGATAGCTGATTTAGTGTCATTTTCTCTCTTCTTTTGGTTCTACTGGAGCCCAGATACAAGCAATATGAACTCTGTTGTCACCTATGACTTTTCTATGATGAAAAAAAGATTAGACTGTTATCTCTTGACTGTGAAACAATGTAAAGTTCATCTGGAAAAGCCTTTTTCAGTGATACTCAATTGTCCTAAGGCTGATAATCAGAGGTGTAAGGTAATTCTAAAAACAATGTACAGAAATTTATAGGAAAACATAAGGCAACCAAGTTTAGAAATAAATTACTTCCACAGGGGCTGCGGTTGAAATATCACTAATGCCTACTATTATTTTCATTGCTACTGTTTAGTTTATATTCTATAAACAATAAATTTTTTCACTCAAATCTATTTTTTATTCAAGGAATGATAGCTGCATAACTTACGACTTTACTACAAACAAAACTTTCAACATATTGCTCTATACTCTCCTAAAGTGTTTGATTAATACAGTAATAGCTTTCTCTATAAATTGTATAGTTTTACTGAAGGAAGGTAACATTTGCCATTAAAATGGCATAAATTGAAAAAAAATTATCTAGCAGTCTATATTCTAAAACACTGGATAGTTAAAAATATTAAAATTTAAAAAGTAGTTATTTTTGTCAGTAAACAGAATTTATTAGTAAGCATAAGTCAGACCGGCATGGCCCAAGGAGACAGTGCTGCCAAAGCCTTTATGAGTGCAGAACCCGCCACTTGTCCAAAGGGCCGTGACTGGGAACATACTTGACTCCACAACCGTCAGGGATGAGGCGCTTCTTGGCCACCATGTCTTCAAATTCGTCAGCATTAAACTTCGTGAAGCCCCACTTCTTGGAGATATGAATCTTCTGGCGTCCAGGGAACTTGAACTTAGCCCTGCGCAAGGCTTCAATCACGTGCTCCTTGTTCTGAAGCTTGGTGCGGATGGACATGATGACTTGACCAATGTGGACCCGGGCCACAGTACCCTGGGGTTTTCCAAAGGCACCTCGCATACCTGTCTGGAGCCTGTCAGCCCCAGCACAGGACAACATCTTGTTGATGCGGATAACATGGAAGGGATGGAGCCGCACTCGCATATGAAAGCCATCTCTGCCACAACTTTTCACCATGTACTTGTTGGCGCAAATACGGGCGGCCTCCAGGGCTTCAGAAGACAGCTGCTCATATTCATCAGACACCATGTGGCCACAGAGCGGGAATTCATCCACTTTTGCCTTCTTTCGACCCAGGTCAAAGATGCGGATCTTGGCATCAGGAACCCCTCGGCAGAAACGAGATTTTGGGTACGGCTTGTTCTTACAATACCGGTAACAACGAGCTGGACGGCGGCCCATGGCAACACAGGAACGTCTTCACTGCGTCGAAGTGAAAATGCGCTCCCTGAACTGCGCCTGCGCGCATCTTATATACGTTGCCCGTCGTCCTGCGCGGGAACAGTAGAGTCCTGAGGCAGATGTGACGACTTTCTTTCGCGACGTCCCAACTAGAGACGCCGCGACGCCTGGAGCCTCCGCGCCTGCGCGACCTGGCGCATTGAGGTGAGCAGAGAGGCAGCTGTGGAGTCTACTCTCCCTGGCGGCCAGGCAAGGAATTGGGCCTCGCCTCAACGACGCAGCGGCAGCTTCCTTCCTGCTGGCCATCTTGGGCCAGGAGCTCTTGCTTTCCGCTTTGCCTTAAGTATAAAAGAGGTTATTTCCAGGCAGGAGGATCGCTTGAGCTCAGTTCAAGACCAGCCTGGGCGATATAGTGAAACTCCGTCTCTACCAAAAAAAAAAAAAAAAAAGTAACTGGACATGGTGGCAAGTGCTTGTAGTCCCAGCTACTCAGGAGGCTGAGGTGGGAGGATCACCTGGGCCCTGGAGGCAGAAGTTGCAGTGAGCTGAGATCGCACCACTGCACTCCAGCCTGGGTGACAGAGTGAGACCCTGTCTAAAGAAAAAGAAAAAGAAAAAAAAAATCCTAGAATTTGAGAAGAAAAATCCTTCCAGTTATTCAACATACTGTTTCCAGTTTGACCAGTTCATTCTCCAGAACTTGTATCTCACTGTCAGCATTTGTAGATCAATTGCTGTTTCTTGGAGTATGTGGCCACCTTCCCTGGATAAAGTGGTTTCTTGGCATGAGTGCTTTGATGAGACTCAGGAAGAGATGAGAGGAAGAGTAGAGAGAGGGATAAAGAGAAGATATCTGTTGAATCTGTAGCTTGGCAGTTGTTTTATAAACATGAAACTTTGTTTTTTCTTTGTTTGGCCTAAAGAAATGATTTTTATTATCAAAATGATACATACAAAATTGAAATGCCAACTAGATTTTTTTTTAACTTAAGGCTATTTGCATTTTCAAATGTTAAAGCTGCTGAAACTATATAAAAGAGTAACAATTTGTGCTTTAGTAATCTTTTGCCCTTTCCTGAGAGTAAATTTAATCTTTTTTTTTTTCTTCTCAGAGTTTGTAAAACTTATGACAAGGATCTGAGTGTAGGAAAGGAGAAGAGAGAGGAAGAGAAATTAATAGTTTACAAACCCTACTTGCATTTTTCTAGCTTTCTTTCTTTTTTTTTTTTTAATGTTGTTTCACAAATCCATTACATCATGTAACAAAATCCCTCTAATGTGAATATATTCTGTCAATGCTTTTTCTTTTGAGGGAGAAAAATAACTCCTGCCTTTAAAGTGAGTGGATTTTTACAAAATACTAAGGATAAAACAATTAAAACTCCCAATGTAGAAAACTTTCTCGCCTTTAAGAAAGCTTGGTCACTTCCCTTTTCTTCCTTCCTTTCTTCTTTCCCCTTTTTCTCAACTAGTTCCTGTTTACTATATGCCTGAATATTGAGATAAAGTAGCTAATACTATGTTCCTGTCCCCAAGCTTACAAGCCTCGGAGAGGATTTAGATACTTCTCATATATCATCATATTACCAAGTGTAAAATGTGCCAAAAAGGAAAAGCAAAGTAAGCCCTGAGACCGTGGGGTGAGGCTGGGGATGAGACCTTGATCTAGACTGAGGAATGGACAGGAAAATCTTTATCCAGAAAGACATTTCATGTTGTGACCATGGCACATGGGGTCTGATGTATGCAAGACCTGAAGCAGGCAGAAATACGGAACATTTTAAAGAACTTGAAGTTAGGCCAATGTGACTGTGAGTGAGAGGGTGAGTCACATAACATGAGCCCCAGTGTGTGTGTGTGTGTGTGTGTGTGTGTGTGTGTGTGTGTGTGTGCGCGCGCGCGTATGAGAGAGAGAAAGGGGTCATGCTATCATACAGGGCCCATTTTACCAAGTTAGGGATCCTGATCTTTAATGCGAAGTCATTAAAGAGCTTTGGATAGGTTTTATCACTCTGGTTATGGTATGGTAAATAGACTGGAACAAGCCCAAAAAATGTATGCAAGGAGATCGGAAAGGAAGACTTTGCAATACTGCAGAAAACACATAATAACTTGAACATACTTTAAAATATTTGACTTTATTTACAAGTTAGTATCTTTTTTATACTACTAAATGCCCTGAATCTATGATAGTGCCTCAGGGGGAGGTGTTTGTGAGGCAAAAGGAAGACACTTGGAGTTTATGTGCCACGACACACTCACTTTTCCACTTGTCTGATCTCCCACCTGTCTAATGTTGCCAAAACCCTAGAATTCTCTGACCAGCAGTTGCTGTGTTGCTGTCAGGGCCTGTCTACGTAAGTTTCTTTCTGTAATCCAAAGCTTGAGCAATCCTGGTTTGTGCGGGTCCGTACCAGTTTTAACATTCAGGTCCTGGGTCCTGCAACACCCCTTAATACCACAGGAAGTGGGAGGGTTGGCCACCCTACTCCATTCATGCATGAGGCCTTTCACAGTTGCAGATTAGGAGGGTGGAAAGAGGAAAGGGAGGGCCACACTGGGATCTTCTATTTATACTCCTTTCCCTAGCCCTGCAGGTATAAGAGGAGAGCCTGTGGAAAAATGCATGAAGTATCACCATTCTATTGAAATATTATAAGCATTCCTCTCAATCAATTCCAACATTTTGAGTGTTTCCCTACCTCTCTACTCTTGCCATCCACAGTGTACACCATGCTAAGCAAACCTTGCAACAAATATATAAAACTTGTCTGCTTTGAGATATATAGCTATGGGAGACATTAATATCATGTAAAATAGAGATGACTTAAAGAATGGGTAGAACATTCACAGGTAGAGATACAGGATAAAGTAGGAATGAAGCAGAACAACTTTTTAAAACCATTAAGATATATGAGGACAGAAGTATCTCTATCTGGTTCACAGTTTTGTACCCTGTTTTTGGCACATTGTGTGATCAGTAGCACAATGAATACACACACTACAGAGGTGCGGTGCGGTGTTAATAAACATTTAACAACCTGCTCATGGTGGAGGTCAGGATTTTGAGGAGAAATCCCTGATTTGTAGTGTTTGATGATTTATTTGGTAGAAATACTTTTTCTGTCATCAGTTTCAAACATCAGTGTGATTTACTGAACACAAAGATGGGTAGAGACGTGCACTATCAGCTTCTGTAAGCCAGTGTTAGCCAGCTCCAGCATGCTGCCATTTGGTGTGTATACACAAGACAGAAAAGACAAACTTGTCTTTGCTAATGCTAATAATGCATATCTTGTAATAATAATTTTTGGAATGATCAGGGAGAAGTCTTTTTTAGGAGCCCTTAGAAAGCAGACAGGCATGAATGTTTAAACTTGATTCAGCTTTGGCTGTGAAAGTTTCCCTCTGTGGTTTCTCCCTCCGGTTCCACAACCCTTATGTGAAAGGCCTGCACTGTTGTTTACTTGTTGATTGTAAGTACTTTCCTCATTGATTACTTACTTGTAATTAGCGCTAGACAGTGTGAGAAATACAATCAAATTCCAGATAACCTCTGTCTTCATGCAAAGGCTGGAAAAGAACAGTTCTGTTTATTAGTTCAGCATAGCGTTTACTTTTCTTTTTTGATATCATCTTTCAAATGTTTCACAATGGGCTAAACCTGACTTTGTTCTCAAAGGGGAACATGCACTGGAGTCTGATGAATTGAGTGGCACACACCGTGGATGCCCTCTCCTGCTACAGGAAGCATCTGCATTGTTGATCATTCAGTCATTGTGTGGAGGACCATCACTGGGTGCTTTACAATATACTGAGATTCATAGATCATGTTCCACTTGGACTCTCAATGAAGTGTGAAGGCTCCACTGATGACTAACAGTCATTTTCATCTGCATTTCTTAGTAACTTCACACTGGGGGCTGTAATCTCAATGTTTTTGAGACTAGGTGAGCAATTTGACTGTCTGTATACAGTATTCCTAGAATTGAATCATGAATATAAAAGAGCCATGGTTATGGCTGGCCTTTTCTTCAAGCCAGTGGATTGTGCCTATTGTCATGGCTAATGAGTGGTCATGCTGCCTGTCTCTCATGCACTTGATTCGCAATGGTCTCTTATCTAGTGACAAGAAAACATGCAGAAATGCACATTTTTTGAACAGAAATATAGTCAGATAATTTTAACTCCTTAGCCCAGAGCCCTAATACATTTTGCTTTTTGACTGGTATTTTCTACATTCTTCTTCTTCTTTCTTTGGGAACCTTTTTTAACTTTGGATATGGGAACTGAACATGTACACTTTGTAGTTTGCTTGTGGAGAATGAGTTCCCACCAAATGAATGACTTTTGACATTGTTCCAGAAAGCTGGAAAAAAGTAGGAAAGGATTAAATCAGGGAGAGGAGGCACACAAATATGCTCGCTGAAATTTGGTTAATTTTTTTTCCTTACGCATTTTAAATTTACTTGTTTAGGTTTCATACTTGTACAAAATGTATAAACCATTAATTAGTTTTATATGGTAAGTAATTGAAATGTAGTTTTATAATTATAAACGTTTAAGCAATGCTATAATAAAGATATGATATGTAATAAACAATTTGAATCAACATAAGACTCTACACCAGTTTTTGAAAGCCCTTTTCTCTAAAAAGGGATTAGTTCAGTCTGCAAATTTGAGAAACACTGATCTGGGGTTAGGGTGCTGAGTATGAAGTTTGCCCCCCACATATTGAATGCATAGTCTTCCTGTGCTTTAGATCCAAATTCCTGTCTATTCATTTAAAAGGCATACTGATGAGAGCAGTGTTGTTACTTCCTTTGCCCAGTTTACTTAGCCGTAGTTTGTGTGGTTTACAAGGTTTACAGAAATGCATGAAGCACATATTTAGGTAACTATATAGATTATTTAATCATTCATATCACAACAGCCAACTCTATTTCAGATTAAATTCATCTTGTACTTTTAATGGATGACTCCTTTATCCATTAAATAGATTTTTTTTTAAATTTTGAAAGTTAGCAATCAACTTTAGTAATTACATTATAGATTATTTATTTATGAAACTACTAATTCCAGTTGATAAAGCACTTTGGAAAGCTTTTTAAAAAGTTTTGCTTCACTTATTGTTATAGACTGAA